GCCCTGGCCCCCTTGGGAGGCAAAAAGCAAGTCTCGGGGAACGACACGGGAGACAGGCAGACAGGTCACGAGGGGGCGTTGCTTTCTCCCTCGCAGGAATCTAGAAACCTCTCTGAGCAACCCACTCCGATGGCATTCTTGCCATTTCATGTCATAAGCAAATGACTTCGACGGCCCCAGAAACGCATCCTTCCCCACGAGCGATCTGACGGCCGGGGTGCCATGTCCATGCTGCTGCGAACAACAAGGGGTGGCCCGTGCTTGCCATGCTTCTCAGGGGCACAGCGCTCCCTGGGGCACCCACGGTGACCCTCAGCTTCCTACAACAATTTACATCAACGAACTCATTCATGAGGACTTTCCGGGGGCATGTGTACACACACACGTGTGCACGCACACACAGAGTATGATATTCTGTGTGTGTTTGTTACATGCATTCATTTGTTGGTGGCAAATGTCTAACGGAACCGCAATCTTTCGAAACCTTATTTGGCGCTTCCTCACTCTCGGGAATGATTGAGGAGCTCATGACGATAGAAATGGGGTCCCTCTCAGACCCGGAGGGGCCCCGTCTGCCATTGCCCCGGGCCCTGTGGGGACACTGGGTTTGCTAGGATGTTGGAAACACACTGGTGGACAAATCCAGGATTTGGGTTCTGCCAGAGTCTCAAGTCCTCAGCAGCTCTCGGGGACTCGGCTGGACTTGATGCTGTGGCTGGATCATCGAAGTGCAATGGAGATGACCCCGGGTCAGAGCCCGTCGGCCCGACCCAGGTCACCGGCCCATCCGGCTCTCCGAAGCTGTTCCAGCAGGCCTTCTGCCAAAGGGTTAAACTTCCCTCCCAGGGGCCCGAAGTCCAAGGGCCCAGCACTTGGACACCCTCTCCTTTTACAGTGTTCTTCCTTCCTTCCTCCTGGCTCGCACAATGGAGAAAGCCCCCATTGTCATTAATCACCCAGGGGCCTCCAGGGGCAGGAACTCGGGGTTTCTCAGCCAGGAGAAGCCCACATCAAAAGCGGCTACTCCATTTGGCCCCCGAGCTGCGCTCACCGAAGCTTCAGAGTCAGGTTCAGAGTCTGTACGATGCCGAGAAATGAGGGTGCAGGGACGAAACTGAGGGCACCCTCGGGGTTAGCTCTTGGGGGCGCTGTGCATGCAGTGTCTTTGCTCTCCACCCGGGAGAGATGGTGACTTCAGCAAGCCGACGGGACTGACTACACGATGCGCGAGGCCCAGGGCAAAATAAAAACAGGACCCCTTGTTCAAAAATTGTTAAGATTCAAAGCAAGCGCACTGGTCTCACGCCCATCAGGCTGCCCCTGCTCAGCAGATATTTCTAATCCAGTGAATGACGGTCCTCACACCGGCTTCCCCTGGGCTGTCTCCAGGGCCATGTCCCTCCCCAGCGACTTGCTTTCCCATCTCCCTGTTTTATTCTTTCCATGTTCTTACCCTGCTCTGAAAATACTTGCTTAAAATGGTTCATGTTCGTGTTTCTATCTGAGACCCTCAGGAGAATGTAAGCTCAGGGAGGGCAGGCATCCAGCCAGCTCTGAGTGCCACTGTGTCCCTGGTGTCCAGCATGTGGCTGGCCACACATGCTGGGAGCGCTCAGTGTTGGATGATGAGCAGCTAAACCATCCAATCACACACAGCAGATCCAGAGGGGCGTGAGCGATGCAGGGCCAGGCTCATGCCCTCCCTGGGACCGGTCCCGGCATCGGCCCCTCTGGCTCCTTTGCCTGTCAGCTCCGTCAGTGACATCGCGAAACCAGCATGGTTTGCCCTTTTGGCCCATTTTACAGGAAGAGGATATCCTGCAGAAATTTAAGAAAGGTGGGATGTTTAACAAAACCCCATAAATAAGCCCCTTGGCGTGTCTTGATGACTCTGCCTGCCGCTAGGTCCAGATGTCATGTTTTATTTCCAGTCAATGGTCAGAAAAGGAAATCGCTTAAAAAATGCCCAACCCCTACTTTCATACACCCGCAACACCACCACACAGTGTCCTGAAAACACTTTGGCAAACTGGCAGCATCTAGTAAAGCTGAACATATGTATGGCCAGGTCCCCAGGCCTACATACACATCCAACAGAAGGGCATCCCTATGTCCACCGAAAGGCATCTGCGAGAATGTTCCTAGCAGCATCATTCATGACAACTATGCAAGTGCCCGACAGCGGTAGAGTTGGCAGATAAACTGCACGTGGAACGCGATGTAGTAACGAAAATGAACAATCTACAACCACAAGCCGCGACACAGACCTTACAAAAGTAACGTTGAGCAAAAGGTGCCAGAAATTAAAGAATACACAGGGCATGATTCTGTTTTCATAAAAAGTATAAAAACAGGCAAAACTAATCTATGCTTTTGGAAGTCGGGCTAGTGGGTGCATCTGGGGGTGATGGAGTGACTGGAAGGGGACTCAGGGGATCCCGAGGGACTGTCTCCTGCTGTTTCTGGATGTGGATGCTGGTCACGTGGGTGTCTTTACTGTGTGAAAATAAATGAGTTCTACACTTATGAGCCATGCATTTGGTGTATGTATATTCTTCTTCAAAAAGAAGTTAAAATTTTTACTGGAAAGGAGAAACCTGAAATACCCAGCAGCACGTGAGTCGTGTATGTTAGCAGATCACAGTAGCGGAGAGCAGGGTGTAACTCAGGATCGAGAGGCCTGAGTGTGAATCTTGACTCTGCCACTAACCAGCTGCGTGACTTCGGGCATGTGAAGGGCTTAAACACGCACCTGGTGGTAGTGGGTGTTACATCTGTGTTACCTTTTATGGATGGGAATATGCTAAAGGAGGTGGCAGTTTATCTATACAGAATAATAAATGGGAAATATGTATTTTTAAAATACATTAAATACATAATTATACACCTAAGCACTTAATTATCTGTTCTAAGCAGTTACATGTATTAAGTCATTTAATTTTCACAGCCATTTTACAGATGGGGGACCTGAGGCACAGAGAGGACACGTAACTTTCCCAGGGTCCCCCAGCGAGCAAGAGGCAAAGCTGGGGTTTGAGCACATACCCTTAACCAATAAGCCGGGTGAACATGGAACCTGGATCATCATTCACACCCATGTCTTGATTGCACATGAAAGACACATGTAAGGAAACAAAGGGTTGTCCCCAGCACCCCATGCGCCAGTAAAACAGTCCTTCTGACCAAGAGGTGGCTCTAAAAAAGGAAGCACAGCAAACCTACTAGAGTCATATGCCAGAGAGAAGTAGGTAGTCCATAGATCTGAGGAGATGAAAAAGATGAGTTACCCAATTAAGATTTCACTTTCAGGAGTAAAGTCCGAATGTGGCTGGCACAGGCTGGCACGAATACTGCAAGAGCCTGGTTTATGCTTTTTTATTTTCCTCCCTTTTTCCTCAAAGCCGCAAGGAGCTAGGGAGGGGGAGAGAGGTTAGAACCCACACACATCCCAGCATGCCAGCCTGTGCCCTGCCGAGCGGCTCGACTTGTCTACGGCTTCCAGGCAGCTGGAAAAATGTCAAACTGTCATCAGTGATTAAAGTGGGATTTTCCAAAGGTTTCAAAAATATTTCAGAATCCAAGACCTTATTCTTCTTGTAGAAAATGAATCCGAGTATCATTCCCTTAACAGATGCATCATGGGACCTGGTTTCCCAGCTGGTTTTCCTCTCTGGGTTTCCATGGCTTTTGCTGGTTTCCTTTGCAGCTTCGAGCATGTCTTCATGGGGGCTTGGACCCAACCGAGATGCAGGAGAGCGTGTACAAAGGCCCAACTCTGTCCCAGAATGCGTAAAGCTCTGTAATGTAGTTACGGTGGGCCCATCGGCCGCCCAGCAGGCCTGCAAGGCTCCCGGAGACAGTCTTATGCCTCATCCACCCCTGTGTGCGAAGCTCAGTTACATAATCTTCAGGGCTCCGGGCAAAACGAAAATGTGGGCCCCTTGTTCAAAAGTTATTCAAGAATGTCAAGAATTGGCAACTGCCGAGCATCAAATCAAGTGCGGGGTGCTTCTAAGCACGGGACACTGTGCACAGGTGACACGCCCATGCAACCGGCCCTGTCTGTATGCATAAAAATCTAGTCAGTACTCAAACACTTACCCAAGGCGCATTTTGGCCCTATCATGACCCGCTCTGAGCTTAGTCTTTTGGCTCCTACCCACCCCGCCACCGCACACCCCAAAGTGCCTGTGGCTAGAGTTGACCCCTGATTTGCAACCCCTGGTGCAATGCAATCCGTTCATTTTGACTCTAAGAATCTGAACTTTCCAAAGAGCGTGGATGGGAAGAAGGCAGAGCTCTGATCTATAAACCCACACAGGCAGACTGAACCAAAAAAGACAAGAAACAGGTCCAGCACGCACAACGAGGCTGAAGCGCACTAGATTCCCTTCTCCCCCAGCCCCCGACCTGGCCCTTAGCAGGCATCGCAGGCCCTTGGCCTCAGCTGTAGTTTTGCTCAGGTCCTCTCCAAATATTTGCGTGAAGTGTGAAGATTAACGGGAAGGGGAAGGGAAAGCCCAGCAGCCTGGTTGGCCTTTTTCTTCACTCAAACCAGGGGCTCGTCTTCCGGTATCCCCCTCCCAAACCCCCAGCAACACCTCTTCAAACCCCCGAAGACCCTGATCTTCCCCCCAAAGAAGTCAGAGTTAAGAATATATCAGATGGGGGTCCAGTCTGGGCTTTGCCATGCTCTCTAAGCCTCGTTTTCCCCATCTCTAAGATCAGAGCTAGGTCATACCCCAACTTTAAACAAATTAGAGAAAGGTACTTTTCCTCCAGCACAGCCCTAGGCCAAGGCACACAACTCGACGCACACAGAAGAGTGGATTTCAAACCCTCTTAGCCCCTCAGCTGGATGCCCGTGCTCTGCGAGCATCCTGTTCAGCCATACCTGGCTACCCCGGGGGCATCTCCCTCATAGGTCTATTGTGAGAATTAAACGCGATGTTCTTTTAACTGCTTAACACAATTATTTGGTAAGTAAGAACAATGCAACACATTATGTTTTAGCTTAAATTTTTAACATACTCTTCAACAGAGCATGACATTAGTAATCCGTAAACCAGTGCAGCTTTTAGCATCCTCGATGTGATTGTAGGTGGTGTGGAGACAGTTGATTAACATTATTGAATAAGAAGAAACATTCCCTTTTCGATTCTCCCATTTCTTCTGAGAAAAATTCAGTGTTTAACACTTCCAACACCTGCTAGTCTAGACACACTTACACACACACACACACACACACACACACACAGACCGCTAGAAGTTATTCCCAAGCAAGCAACATGCCTAAAATGTATTAACATCGCTTGGTTTTAGTTGTTTTTATCTTTTACAATTTCCTTTTATGGTGAGTAATAACTACTTTTCAATTTACAGTAGTCGTATCAAGTGTTCTTTCCAAAACCATATATTCGAATACTTTAAAATGAGTCAGTTTAAGGGAAAACGTTAAGCAAACAATATTTGAGGGGGTAACAGAGGGCTTGAAGTTTGGGAGACTCGACAGGACACAGGGCCCCACCAGGCCAGATCCTGACGTTTCCGGTCTTGAACCAAGAGCTCTCAGCTCCTAGCGTGCAGCCGGAAGAGAACTCGGGGGATGAACACGGCGAACGGCGCAAATGTCCAACATCCAGAGGCTTCCCCTCTGCTGCGTCTCCAGCCGGGTTCCATGCCCTACCGACTTTCCAGCAAGGAGCACACTGGTTCCCTCTGAGCCTAACTGTTTGGCCCCGGAAGCTCCTGACTCCATAACCTGTCACCCCTTTGAGAGATGTGCCTGGGTCCTGTCTCCTGAGCTCTGGGGACTTCTCAGGGAGGAATGGGCTCCTCTTGAATGATGAAGTCCTGCCAGTCGGCTCTGTCTGGCTGATCTCAAGCTCAAGGGGGTTTTCACAGCCGGGGGCCTGCGAGCCAGCTTCCCTGACCAGGCGATGCCAACGTACCTTAGAAGATTAAGGAGGAGGGAGGGGAGCAGGGTATACGGCGCAGCTGCGTTTGATCCCGCGACCGTGTCACTCAGTATCACAAACAATTTATTGCCGTTAGACGACGGTGTCAGGCACTAATTTCCTGGTGGCGCTCCATCACAGGCCCGGGAACACAAGAGGAGGGGGCTCAGAGGCCCATGGGATGGGGGAGCCAAGGCACGGTGGCCAGCGAGGCGGGGATCCCATAACGAGGCTTTAATGACTGGAGCCTGGCCGGCCTTTGTGGAGAAGCCTGAGGAGGCGGAGGCCAGACCCTGAGCTCCACAAGGTCACTTCCTCCCCTGGCCTCCAGCACCACGGAACCCCTTGGGGGCCAGCTGCGGCCACGAGGCCTGGTGCCCATTACGGAGCTCTCCTGGGCCCCCTGCCACCCTCTCCCGCACCGAACTGCGGCAGGAAATGCAGTATTTCCGTGCAACAATGCAAACGCGCTCATTACCATCTCCTCAATATGCATGAAGAAACTGTGCTAGGCTGGCCGAGCCGGTCACCCGGCCCTGGCCTCCGAGAGTCCAATAAGGCGAAATATTCATCTGCCAAGAGGGATGAGGAGGGGTTGCCGTGGGGGAGGCAGATCCACGGGGGAAGGGACGAGGCCAAGGCGGGGCAGACGGAACCGGGAGAGGATGGGATGAGAGAGGAAAGAAAGGACGAGAAATGCGGATGGATGCGGGGAGAGGGGACACGGTCCCAGAGGCGGGAAGAGGGAGAAAGAGACATAAAATAAGCGGACAAGGAGGGAGCGAAAGGGAGACAGATGAGCTGAAAAGTGGTCCAGAGGAAAAATCAAATAAAACAAAGAAGGGAGTAGAAGAAAAAGGAAAAATGAATGCCCCGGAATCGAATACACAGAAAGCGGGGGAGATAGACTGATGCGCAGAGGAAGGCAGTGGGGGGCGGGGGGAGCGAAACCGCTTAGGTGGGAAAGCGATGATCCTGGAAAGGTAAAGAAAAAGGAGATCACTCGCGCTGAGGGGCGCGCTTCCATCCTGCCCGCTCTGGGCGCTTCGCTCCTCGGGCTGCTCAGGGACGCAGGGCCGCGGGCCAGGTGGGGGCGGCGCAGGGGCGGAGCGGGGGACCCGGCGGCCCGCCGCGGCCTCGCACCCCTCCTCCGGTGGCCAGGCTGGCTCGTGGTACGGGGGCCTGGGTTGAGGACCGGCCTTGTGCGTCGTGGAGCGGCCATTCCCCCCGGCCCCTCCTTCGCCGACAGCAAAGTTGACAAAGTTTGTCCCAGATTCCCCGTTGCTCCTCCGGACCCACGGAGGGACTCCAAGGCCCTGGCAGATGGTGGGGAACAGCAGCCAATTCCAGGGCGGCTCTGGAGGCCGCCAGCCGGCGTCTCCTGGGATACTTGGGGTCCGGATTCCTGACCAGACGCAAATCCCTCCCGGTGCGGACGCCAGGCCACGCACTCGGGCATCCATGGCTGCTAATAGCGGAGAGAGAGAATGCAGAAGAGAGAGAGGGAGAGAGAGAGAAGGGGAAAAAAAATATTCTCAGCTCAATTTAAGTCTCATGGAAAGGGCTTACAACTGTAATTAAATCATTAAATTCTTGTCTACGCTTCACAGAGCGGAGAGAAATTAACTTCCCACCAACCTCATTTTCTATTTGAACATGAAATAATGATTTTCTGCCCGTCTAATTACAAAGCCAACATCTGATCAAGCCAGCATCCAGAGGGGATTATCGCATGCACGAGTATTAGACCTCATTACCAGCTTGAGTGCAAAATTATTACATCTTGTAATTGGATGGTGAGATTTATATACAGATCGGCCCGGTTTCTGTAAGATTGTAATTACAAGCTTCGTTGGTTAGCTACTTATCAGAACTTTGCAGGAAAACAAAACAAATGACTGAGGAAAACGAGCATTTCATTAACCTGTAACCCGAGCGCGGGGGGGAGGGAGCGGTGGAAGCGTGCGCCGCGGCGTCTGCAAGAAGCTGAGGGATCGCAGGGCCGCCCTCAGCCCGGGGACTTCAGGCCTGGGAGGGATAGGTAGAGATGGGCCTCGGCGGGGAAGATCAGAGGCGGCAGTGGCGTCCCATCTCCACCCCCAACCCCACCCCGCCCCCGAGGAGGCGAGCGCACACCGTGGGGCTGGGGGAGGAAGGGGCAGGTAGAGGTCTGGTGACTTGCGGCTCGCGGCTCTTGTGCAATGCTGCCCCACGGGCCCTGGGCTTACGTCGGGCCGTGGCTCCTGGTGCGCGTCTGCCCAGCGCTACTGTGCGCGCCCAGCGTGTGTTCTGGGCACCCTCTCCCTGCACTCCCCACGCCCTGGGCCGCGTGGAGAGGGCGTGTGCCGCAAGCCTCCGGAGCGCTGTGTACGCTGGGAACATTGAAAGAAGGCTAAGTGATGAAGCTTTTGCGTGCGGCGCGGTTTTGCGCCTGCATGCTTTTCCCAAATCGACTCCCCGTGCACCTGCTTTTTCTCCCTGTGCGAGTGTGTCACTTTGACCCCATCTCTTGGATTAAAAATCCCTGGGAAAAGTTTAGCTGTCCTCGGATTTGAGTTTAGTCTGAAACCAGGCTCCACCGGCCGGGTGGAGTTGGGGAGCCAGTGCCACGTCGGGGCTTGGCTACACAGGACTCCGAGTCCCCATCGTGGGGTGCCGATCACCTCAGGCCAGGGCAGGGCTGACCTCAGCTGGAGACGAGGGTAGTGGAGGGGCTGCTTCTGCTTGGGACCTGGGGCGACTGGCGGGATCTAATTAATGGAGATTCTTGGGTCGGCGTGGGGAGGGAGCTGGAGGTTCACCCTCTGGGCTCTGGGCATCCTTGGGCGGATGTGGCTGGTTCCCTGGGAGCAGTCCCGTCCCTTCCCTTGACTTCCCGCCTCCTGCAGTCCCACGCGGCCAGGTCAATAGCTGATTAATGCGGGAGAAACACCTAAGGGGCTCACTGTTTTCTCTTTTCCTCCTGAAAGAGCTGAGTTCAATTTTCAGTATTACATGCAGGCATTTAAAGGGCAGCCCCCCGTTTTCCTACCTCGTTATCTCGCCCTTGGCTCTGCCCTGGTCTGGTGCCACCGCTTGGTGCAGACTCGAGGATTTCAGGGCTGTCGAGGCTTGAGTCTGACAACTGGGAAACACTCCCAGAAATAATGTTACCCTCCATTTTGTAACCCCGAGATTTTTCGGGAAAAGGCGAGCTCACGATTCCCTATGCCATTTCACGGAGAGTTTTAATTAGAAACGAAATCAGGCTCCGGGCAAGATGTTTGGAGCCAGAGCTTCCCCTGGTATCTCCTGCTCCAGGGGAGCGTCCAGCTAAGTAAGGCCAACTCTGGGCACCGGGCAGAACCCGGTAGGGAGGGGCTAGGAGAAGCAGCCAGACCCAATCTGAGAAGGCCACAGATCAGTTTCCCCGCCCGAACCCCACATCTGATGGCGCGAACTTTCCCTTGCCCCCAGCCCCCAGTTTTCTCTGCATTCACACCTACTGGAGTCCCAGACCTGTGTGAGGACTGGCGAGAAAAGGCAGGGCATGGGAGTTTCGTGAACCCTGGGTGCCCGCGGGAGTTCCTTCTCTAACCGGGCTCCCCCAGAGCTGCTGAGACCAGAGACTCTCCGATCTTCCCACTCTGCTGGAATTCGGATTTTATTCTTCTATCCATCAGCGCACCGCGGACAGTTTCCGGCTCGCAGCCAGGCTGTCAACCTCGGCTCGGCGTCGCGGTCCGCGCGCAGTTTCCGAGCGCCCCCGCTGCAGGCCTGGCCTCTGCCTGGGTCTCTGCTGCAGCAGCCTAGAGCCTTTCGCCCTGAGCCGCGGGAATTTCCATGGGGCTCCCGGTGGTGGCACGCCCTGATCCGTGAAGGTGGGCGCCCTGCTCCTGGGATTTCAGGTTTGATTTAGGAAATATCCCACCAAAAAAAAAAAACTAAACTAAAAGTCTTGCCTCCCATCCCCACTCGAGACCATGGGAGGATCCTCGCAGAAAGAAAACGGGTTGGCGCTGAGACCAGGGAGCGGGAGGAGAGTGAAACGAAGGCTCTCTACAGACCGAAAATGCCTACACGCGAACTTCTCAAAGGACTCTCGCAAAGTTCCTAGAGTCTCCGCCACCCAGCTCCTCCCTCATCCCACGCGCACTTAGCCGCCGCCCCCGCCTGCAGGCCCCGCTTCCTGGTCCTGGCTCTCCAGGACCCCCAGCGCATCCACTCTGCAGCCCCCCAGCCGAGCACACCGTTTCTAAGGGAGTCGCACCAAGACACAGAGGCAGCGCTAATGTGGCTAATTTCAGGGTTTGGTCCTCTTGGGTGGGGGGGCAGCCTTGCCCCCCCTGGGTAATGAGATAGCCTTTGAAGACAAATAGAACATAGCCCAGCCCATCCCCTCACCCCTCGAACCCTCTTCTAGCGCCCTCCCTCCCTACCCGGCTGAAAGTGGCCTGGCGACAGAGGTACTAGCTGGAAAGGAGGAGGGGGGGGCGGGCAGGCTGAATATAAGCCCAGCGCCTGCCCTGGACCAAGGTCTGGTCCGAACTCATGACCCATGCTGGGGTTTCAGGGGAGAGGTACCGGCGGGCGGGAAGCAGGAGGGGTGAGCTGACCCGATATTAACCCCCAGCCCCGCGCCTCTCCCCTTGCCTCGCGGCCCAGGCCAGTTGGGGCGGGAAGGGAGTCAGAGCGCCCCGGTCCCGCCCCCGCCCTTCCCGCGGTATCCACTGGAGTGGGCGGCCTCGCTGGTAAGGCGCCCGGCGATTGGCGACTTGGGAAGGAGACGCAAGGAAAAGTCGAATAAGAGGGCGAGACGTCAGACCTGAGATTTGGGGAAGGGCGAGGGAGGGGGCGAGGACGGGGGATGGACACACAGACTCAGATACGGACACACACCCCCGCACAGCACTCTAAGTAGCCGCAACTTAGGTCGCCTTAGCTCAGAGCGCAGAGGCCAGGGCCGCAGCGGGGTCGGCGTTGTGTCAGGAGGAGGGGCGGGGGCCGAGAGAAGCGAAGGGAACGGAAAGGGGAGCAAAAGGCATCGTGAGAGAGGGAAAGAAGGAGAGGAGAGTTTCTAGCGCCCAGAGGAAAAGAGCCGGAAGCGGTCTTGGGGGAAGCG